TGTAGCTCGGACAGATTGATGAACGTGTTGTTATTAGTTTTCGGCCCGTTCGTGTTGTTCGGCGGGAATATCAGTGGATTTAAGTTGTTCTCCGGCGAGCTAGCGCTGTGCCTTCTGTATTTCGGAGTCGGCGGCCTCGGGTTCGGTTCCGAGCAACCTTTCAGCCAATAAGACGTCACTCTGCCTTTGCCCTTTAGTTCCACTTCGCCCCTTAGTTCAAGGTCGAAGGTACCAAATTTATCCAGTATACATTTCGTTGCCTCCGACACGTGTATGCACAACGCTGCACGAACAAACATTCGATCATTAAAATTCAATCCATCTTTCGTAGAAATAATGGTAAGTCCGACTTACGTAACCCTGAAGATTCCATCCGCGACGCGGTGTTCACCGTGTCCCCGAACAGACAGTAATGCGGCATTTTCTGGCCTACCACGCCAGCGCAAACCGGTCCGCTGTGCACTCCGATTCTGACGCTCAACTGAGCGTTCTGTTTGTGCATAATGGTAAAGGATTTCACGGAATCTAAAATCGTCAGCGCCATCAGACCGATCTCCCTCGCGTGGCCGTCGCCGTTCCTTTCCGGCAGCCCGGAAACCACCATGTACGCGTCCCCTATCGTCTCCACCTGCGATCGTAAGCTTCGTTCAAGTACCTGATACCACAAAATTCCAGTTCCGCGTCCGCGATTCGAGACGGCGCACCTTGTACACGTCGTAGAATTCGATGATACGGTCGAAGGTGCTGTAGAGGTCGTTCAGGAAGTCCACCACTTCCATCGGCGTGCTTTGAGCGCAGAGCGCGGTGAAGCCGACTATATCGCTGAAGTAGATCGTCACGCATTCGAATTGCTCGGGTTGCACCAGCTCGCCGGCCATTAATTGGCAAGCCACTTGCCTGAAATTTGTTAGCGCGTTGAAGATCAACGGATCCGGTAGTTGTCCCCGGTCGATTGTGAAATGATAAACCACCTGGGGAGAACTTGGTAGAGGAGTTCCTCGCTGCGCCGCTTCTCGAGGCTCAACTGTTCCGTCTTCTCCTCGACCAAAGCTTCCAGATTGTTCGCGTATTGCTCCATTCGCCTCAGCAAATCGTCCATCAAGTTCTCGCAGTAGCCTCTGTGAATTGAAGAAGCTCAGTTCTTTCAGTGTCCAGGAGCCTTTAGAATTTTCGATGTCTACAGTCCTCGCGATTTCCTAGTGAAGTTAGATCTTACTTCATTATTCCCCGTATCGTTCCGCGAATCGTGTGGAACGTGGGTCGCTCCTCGGCCACTTCGTTCCAACATTTCTCCATCAAGGACAGAATATCCGGGGGACAGTCCTTCGGTGTCACTTCCGGCCTGAACGGCGGTGTCTCGCACGTTGCCACTCGGCTGACGATCTTCAATGCAATTGTGGACGCAAGTTATCGATTAAATGGGATTTATTATCGGGACATCTTGCGGGGTTATACCTCTTGAGAGGTCATGAACTGTTTCACGGTCTCGTATGGCCCTCCGCGGACGACGATCTCCTCCAATATGATCGCGAAACTATAGACGTCGCCTTTCTGAGTCGCCACGCTCCCAGGGGTTACTGTCAGCGGCAGAAGTTCGGGCGCGATCCAAAGTAATTCTGTTCAGTAATTAATTGTTTACTATTTAGAAAGACATTTATTAACACTAGAACTACCGTACCAGTCAGAATGACTGGTTTCGATTTGTTTGTTTAGCAATTATTGATATCTTCGAAGTATCGAATATTCGAAATGATTTTGAAAATAAATAGTTTCATTTGGGTACTATAATGAATGTCTGAAGAAACTGAAAATAATCTATTGTTACAATTTTTATAGGAATTGCATATTGATCGTATGAAATGCTCGGTAGTTCTAGTGTTAATAAAATAAAGCTAAAACCATGGTCAAAATATTCTGTTCAGTAATTAATTATTTACTATTTAGAAAGACATTTATTAACACTAGAACTACCGTACCAGTCAGAATGACTTAGTCGCAACAAGCATCGTCTATATTTTACCAAAGAGTGCTGAATATTTCTAGTGAAACACTTTCGAGTGCAAAGGGTTAAAAGGGAAGCTTTTCACTAGAAACATTCGACACTTTCCAATGAGACATAGACGACACTATTTGAAACGAACTAATGAGCAAACATACGTCAATTAGGAAACAAAGCTGTTTTATATAAATATTTCGCATATTGATGCATTATACAAAACTTAATACTATATATAACACTTTGCAACTTTGTTAGATCAAATCAAACGGTGACTGAGAGTCACCTCTCGAGTGCAAAGGGTTAAAACTAAAAGAGTACGGCGATGGGTAACCCTTTGCGGACGAATGTTGACGCTTTGCCGAGATCAAACTTTCATATTTCGAATACTGAGTTACCAACGAATGATTTAATAACTCAAATAGCGAGGAATCGATACATAGTTTCCCTTTTCTATATTATTTAAGCATCCGTTATGTAATTTCGCCGAATCTGTTGAAGGTTTCGTATTCTCTGAAGAATCTTCGTCCGCAAAGGGTTAAAGCATTGCGTTATTACGAACGTAGAGCTTCTTCCACTTACTAGTGTAATAAACGTCATCCATGATTAAATCCGATGGCGTGGTAAGGGTCTTCAACCCGAAATCTGAAATTTTCAAGACAAAACGGCCGTCGATCAAACAATTGCAGGATCGTAGCTTGCCGTGCGCTGAAACCTCGCTGGCGTGGAGATAGGACATCCCCTGTAACACGTGGAACTCCTTTTATACGAATCAAACCGGCGAAAGAACATACGCATACTTCCTACACCTGTTCTACCTTGACTATATCGTGAATTAGAGACATTCGAAAGTTCCAGTCAAGCTTAATAGCGTCGTTCTCCAGCACGTCTTTCAAGGATCCACGGGGACAGTACTCTGTCAGGATCAAAACGGTCGGTGACGGTGAACAGAGGCAGGCTCCAATGAATCTAACATTGATTTCAAATTTAGTAGAAGATTCAGCAAACCAAAAAGCAAGGACAGTCAAACCCGTTTTTGTGCGGTAGATAAGGACCGCATAAAAAAGAATGTTCAGAAATTTACGAAATAGTGAGAAAGTGCTTTCAAACAAAATAAATAATTAAATTACACGTGGAATCGTTTTAAAAGAATTCAATTTCCCATACATAGAGGAATTTTCACTGGAAAAAATGTAATTTCTCATACATGGAGGAATTTTCACTGGAAAAAATTTAATTTCTCATACATGGAGAAATTTTGGTTGTAGTCCAAAATGCGCATCTTCTTGCGATGAACTGGTTCAAAGTCGGTTTCGTCACTTGAAAAACAACAACAACACCGTTGGAATTCATGTACTGCATAGAAAAGGACCGCACAAAAACAGGTTTGACTGTATATAAAATTTGATATTGCTTCTTTCCAAGATGAAATCTCAGCGTACCGAACCGTGTTTTCAGACGTGACATCCCGTACTTGCTTAATCTCCCACAACAACTTCTTCGTAATGTCGACCACTTTTTTCTTGGTGATCTTCTTGATAGCCACCCTCTCGCCTTTGTAAATTCCCACCGTTGTGAAAACTGTGGTAGGCGGAAGGGACTCGCAGCTGAGCTGCGACCCTCTTCTAATACGCTGCTCCAATCCGAAGTTCTGTTGTCACAAGGAACGTTTCATTAACACGTTGAATGTCATGGGGGTCATCGGTGACCCCCAACCAAATCGAATTACTATAGTTCGTTCAATTAAACGTTGATTATTTGAAAACATCTATATTGCTACATAATGCGATAACATTCAGCTAGATGAACACGCAATAATAATAATGCAATTCGATCAAATGATTTAATATTATATTTTTCCCATTTTGTGTACTTTGCTCTATGAAATCGCGGTGTTCAATCAAATTGAATTACTATAGTTCATTCAGTTAAACGATGATTATTTGAAAACATTTCTATATTACGAATAATGCTAATACGGTGAAATTCAGTCAGATCATCGTGCAATAGTAATGCAATTCAATCGAATGATTGAACCCTTTGCACTCGAAAGTTTTTCACTTGAAATATTCAATACTTCCTAATTAGATGTAGACAAGATTCTTTAAAATGAACTTGACAAGAAATCATACATAAATTAGTTAACAAAGCTATTTTCTTTCAATATTTCACGTATCGATGCAGTATACAAAGGTTGATGATAAATTCCAAGTGCAAAGGGTTAATATTATATTTCTTCCATTTTGCGTCTTTTACTGTACGAAATCGCGCGACATTCAGCGTGTTAATGCTAGTTTTAACCCTTTGCACTCAGAAGTATTTCGCTAGATATATTTAACATTTTCTAACCAGACAAAGACGATGTTTTTTTAATACCAGGTTTACGGAACGCGACAATTTGACGCAGATTGAATTTTATAAACATTATTTGGTAAATGTTGTAATCGGTTTTCGTTGATCCAATTACACGAATATGAATCCTGATTGTCTATTTCTACATCTACAATTTCCAAAATCTAAATGAACGAATATCAACTTCCCCAGGAACAATAGAATAAACTGTACAATAAATGCCCGTAAACCTAGTGTTAAAGGAACTCAAAAAGAAATCACAAGTGAATCGAGAAACAAAGCTTTTTTATCCCAATATTTCACACACCGACGCATTATACATAGTTCAATATTAAATATCAAATTTCATAGTTTTACTGCATCAAATCAAGTGGCGACTGAGAGTCACTTCTCGAGTGCAAAGGGTTAAATATTTATAGATATATATATAATATTTTCAGATATTTATATCTCTTTGTTCCATATCAAAGACTGTCTCCACCTCGGATATCGCTTGGTGCAAGTTGATCTTCGAAGAGAACGGTTTCCCTATCTCTAGCAACAGCTCCTCAGGCCTGATCCTCCAGGACATGTTGTTCAAATCCGCGGATAATCTCAAGTGTCTGTACAAAACGCACGTGGCAGCGACAGCAGCGAGCAGAAAAGCTGCGAGTGCCAGGCTTGTATAAGCGACGAACGTGTAAGCTTCCGTCCTCGACGTGCAAGCAGGATCGTTCCCCAGGAATCCGCATTCCGGAACATCCGCCGGTGGCCCTTCTCTCCCTCCGGGCCAATGAATCTTCTTCCCCGGGACGGGACTGTACTCCCGGTTTAATCCCAAATAGTGCGCCACCACCTCGAACCTGGCAAACAATTTTCCTATTCGCTGAGCTACCAACCGACAGGAATTAACCCCTTGCCCTACAACAACGAGTGAGACTCGTAGTGAAGATTTTCAACATGATTCAACAAATATATGTATTACTCAGTACATTCGAATCCAAAGTAAATATTATTCCTCTGTAATCAACTATTATACTTAAAAGGAAATATAGGCATAACATATGCTTAAAATTTTTCTCGTAAATTATTAATGACAAAGTAGCCGTATCGATCGGAGTTCAGAAAGAAGTCATAGGCCAAGGGGTTAACCCCTTGCCGTCTTATTTACTTTTGCTACTAAGCTCGTGCAAAATGTTTCTATCAGCAGTTCAGAAAAAACGCAAAGAAATTATTATTTATATATATATTTGTTGAATCATGTTGAAAATCTTCATCACGAGTCTCACTCGTTGTTGTAGGACAAGGGGTTAATAATACCACAAAGATATTCTGATTATTCGGATGCTTCGAATGTTGGTGAAATTACGCGTCTGTTCAATCTTTGTCCGGATAAATTGATCAGCAAACACATCCATTTCCAGAAAGCCCCGCGGTCTATTAATTACGTTCGCTTCAGACGTATCAAAAGATCATTCAGGATATGTTAATGGGTGCCCTAACTAAATCTCCGCCGCCTATCCGCAGAGAATGCGGCTTGATTAGCATGGCAAACAGTCGAAGGAATTTCCAGCTTAATTGCCGCTGACCTTCCAGTGATGGGATCTAAATCCAGGATACTGTAGTCCGCGTCGCGGTCGCCGTTGTCGTCGATCCTCACGTGACCGGTAATACCAATGAAGTCACGGTCCCACATCCTCCTCGTGATCGAGATACCGTCCCGAATGTCGCCGCCCTCGGTTAACGTTTCGTTCAGCGCTATGCCCAGCAGATAGACGCCATCGTAAAAAGCGCCGATGAAGAAGTTCACCTGGACAGTAGGGTAGAATTGTTCTTTCCAAATTTGATGAAGGTTCGTCATCGGTGTAGACCAGTGATTTTCCCAAGCCCCATAGGGGGGCAATTTGATTTTTAGGGACAATTTGAAATTTGAAATATCACTTGATATATTTCACAATATTTACGAAAACAAAATAGCGAAAGTATTGTAATAAATATTATAATAATATTACAGTAATATTATAATAGTATTAGAATAATATTATAATAAATATTATAATAAATATTATAATAAATACTATAAAAATAGAATTAATATAAATACTCGGAAGAATTTTGCAAATAAATAGTGTCACTTGAATACTATAATTAATACGTGAAGGAACTGAAAATAATCTATTATTACAATTTTTATATAGATTACATGTCACTCATATTAACCCTTTGTACTCGTAAGGTCACTCAGTCACCACTTAATTTGATGCACCATCGTGTAAAATATCAAAGTAAAATACTTTCGTTCCTTAATTTATCGATTAAATTAATTGCATTAGTTGCAATAAACATCGTCTATATTTGATCAAAGAGTGCCGAATATTTCTAGCAGAAGACTTTCGAGTGCAAAGGGTTAAATGCTCGGTAGCTCTAGTGTTAAGCTACGCGAATTTTCCAAAGTTTACTAGCACCTACTTCCTCTCCATCGGAAAATGAGTAATTGTAGTCTGTCTGCGCCCTTTGGCGCACCGTCTCCGCGAAATCTTGGAACCGAGGGCTAGTCGGCTGTAGCAATGAAACTCGTAACAGAGCTTCGTAAGCTTTCCTTGCCACAGCGTCGTCCTCGTCGCCAACTTCCCAATCGTGGTCGCCCCAATAGGAACCCTGCGTTCCAATGAAACAGGTTTCAACCAAGTAAATGTTAACACATTGCGTACTGGTAACGAGAAATCTCGTTTTTAACACTATTCCTACCGCAAGCAGTCAAATGACTGTTTTTAAAATTTCGATTAGAATTTCCTATAGACCACGTAATTGAATCGCCTTTATACTTCACGACTTGTCCTAAAATATATGTATAAAACATTTTTCAATACTCACACCTTTCTTTGTTATTTTCTGAGAAAAATTTGTAGTCTGTCTTACCTACCACGACCGGTCATTTGACCGGCAGAACGATTTATATCTCTTTTATTTATATCTATTTTAGTAAAATCTAAATGTCGGAGATGGCCTTTACAGGTATTTTTCAATATCCTAGATTCAGCCCGGATAAATGCATGGCTTTTATATAAAGAATCCACGGGAGAAGAAATTTCGAGGCAGGAATTTTTATTTCAATTGGCAGAAGAACTTGCCATTAAATATAAAAAAAAAACTAGAGTTAGGCAAAGAAAATCAAGCAACACCCGTCACAAGTACAAGTACGGGTTCACGCGAACGGAAACCATGCCAAATAAGATATTGCACAAACAATAAGACTAACAAAATCTGTCTAAAATGTAAAAAGTACGCGTGTAGGAAATGTACAATCGACAAACCTATTTGTAAAAAATGCAGTGAAAACGAATAAAATGTACATTATATACTTCTAAATGAAAGAAACTATATTTGTATACTGTCAAATTGGCTATTATCTTCATTCTATATTAAAAAATATAAGTCATGCTAAAGAGTAGTCATTTGATTGGTCGCGGTAGGAATAGGTATACGTGGAGTGTCGGTAGGAATAGTGTTAAACATGTCTTCCAGTTTAGAAGAATTGAAATCATAGTTCCATTCACCTGAAATATTTCGACGTCGAGGAACGCCCAGTCTCCTCTCGTCATTCCCAAGTCATGAGCTGCCAGCATAAACTTCCTGACGAGAGTCCCGCGGACACTGAGTATCAACACTACGAGGAACACGAGGCAACGCATCAAATCTCCGTAAAACTCCAAATTAGTACCACGCAAAGATTAATCTTCTCCAAACAAGAATTTTTCAAACTATTCGAAACATTCACCGGAGAAGATTATCCTAATCGTCTACTCTTAACACGTTTCCATTGAGAAACTTTCGAGTAGAAAGGGTTGACATATTGCGTACTGGCAACGAGAAATCTCGTTTTCGTATAAAGACACTTAGCTATGCAATTTCGCTAATTATTATAATATTTAGAAAAATATGAAATTTGATTCAAATTGATTGTCTATTTAAAATACATTACATAACAATATATCTGAGTTTTTGTATGTACAGCAATATAAGTTGATCTCACTGAAAATTTCCATCCGAACAATTCAGTTTTCTGAAAAGTAGCCGGTACGCAATGTGTTGACGTAAATGACGTCTATAGACGTCCATTACGCGTGCTTGTAGATGCAAACGACGTCTACAGCAGTCCTATATTTTTAGTATTATAAAACAATTAAAAGAACGTATATCACTGTTGAATTTACCCTCTAAATCCTTTAGTTTTCTTTTAATAATTGTTGAAGTAAAACAGTTACTCCAGAAAACTCCAACAAAAATAATTCGTAGCCATTATAAACTGTTGAGGCGTTCACGTAGAAATTTTTGTTCTTGTATCTTCCAATTTTGTGTTACATTAAAACAGAATGTAAATGAAGATCATGTGCAAAATAAGGTTATGTTTATAAAAATATGCCTCTTTTATTTTTTCCTAAATTATTTTCAAAAAATATCGTTGGATAAAACGTCTATAGCCGTCTTTTGCGTATCAGAGAAATCGAAGCTGAAAAACAAACGACGGCTATAGACATTTACCTTTTTTAGGGAAATTTATTAAAAAATACAATAATTTTAATCTGTAAGTATGAAATCTTGATCGAACTCCTCAAGAACCAATTGACAAAAAAAAGAAGTGTGTTTGGAAGCACTCGCCGATTTCAAAATGAGCGTCAACGCGTTAAACCTCTAATATCTACAATCTAAACGAACGGACAACGATTTCTCTAAGAACAGGTAAATATCATTAAATCTAACGTTAACATAAAAATCTCGTCAATCGATCGTTTACCTCTAGCGTACATACTGGCGTCGCGCAGATAAAAATGGTACGGCTCGTCCGCGGAGTTGCCATCGAGTTCCCTGACAAACTTCAGCAAGCCATCTTTGCGCAGGCCGTACTCCAAGTTTTTGCCGACCGTCCACGAGAACAAATCGGACCTGTCCAATATCAGCGCCACGTGGGACCATCCGAACTCCTTAAAGATGCTGGAGAAGACCAATCGCAGCCGACACTGGCAGTAGGACATCCTGGTCAGCGTGGGATACTTGCTCTTGTCCTTGAAAATGCCCTATAACGAGGGAAGCAAACGAGGAAGAGAACGCTTGAGGGCAGAAACGACGGTATCGGTTTATCCTGGCCGTTCTAACAAGGCCACGGTTAATTAAGAATACTAATGGAGTCATAAATACGCTGGGGATGAGAAACAGAGAGAAAGAAAGAGAGAAGCGAAGGTTCTCGTGTTCTTCGCGAGGAGAATACGCAGTCACGCACGCGATAATTACCGGAACGTCATCGATTAACGTTAACGAGCAAAGAGTCATGCAAACACTAGAGGGAATTGCATCCGGCGCGTCTCCTTACCGAGCTTTCGTTTTTCCACTTATTGATTCTGCCGAGGATGCCTGAGGTTACGGACAGCTCGCCCTCCGACGGTGGCTTGTCCGTTGGAAAATATTGCGATTACATAATCTGAGAGGATGTAGGTAGAGCGGACCGATCTTTTATTCATTCACCGACGAACGTGTGAACATACTTGATCGCCCATTCCTGTGATAATAGGGGTGTTCCAGTACGCCGCGAGCCTCGCGACCGGTTCCAGGGCGAACGCGCAGGCAGGGCCTATGAACGCGATCACGTTGTCCTGGAAATGCATGTCGGCCGCCAGACCTGGTGCCGTGGCCCCGCTGCAGGACGGGTAGCTGGAAATCCAGACAAATATTATAGTGGTTACTATTATTATAGACAGTGAAAAGGTGGATCTTCGGTAATCGAGAATTAGAAATAAATATATGTATTTAACCCCTTAGCGCACAGTTTTTTTTAAAAAACAGGCCAAAAAAAGTCAATTTTGATATACTGCGCCTTTGTTCCATGGAAAAAGGCTATATGTTATTCTTGAATAAATAAGTGTTATAGCTTACAATCCCATGTAAATGATAAATATCGATAAAACGATTTTTTCCCTTTGCTTTCGCATTGTTATTTTCACAGTTTGGCCTGTTTAGCGCGCTCGAATTAACTCGAGCGTGCAAGTTAAGGGGTTAATGAAATAATGAAACAATACGGACAACACGTAAAAAATACAACTCAATGCCACGGAGGCCAACACACGACTCTCCCTCGCCACTCTCTTACCACTCTTTTACAGACATTCTCTTCCCCACAAGCATTCTTCTCACTCGCACTCATCGCGAACATTCAGATGCACCCCTGGAAAGCTGGCCCTGCAGTCTTGGGTCCGTGACGTTGCGCAGGCCACTTTCCCTCGACCGTTTTACAGCCTGTCCTTCACTCACACTCATTCTTACATTCACTCTTCTTAAAAATACCTTAACCTACGCTAAAAATTCTAGATACTACATTATTATTGTCGAAGTTGGTGCATCGATCGTAGTTGAAAAATAAATCATAGACCAAGGGGTTAACACCTTCAATAATCAGAAATGCAAGTTCAACGCTAGAACTACCGAGAAATTCAAGTAACTATCTTCTTCTAGAAACTATAAAAGTGTATTTATCAAAATCTCAATTGATTTATATTGTAATTATCCTGTTACCGAATCAACTCCAGCCGTTCCTCAAAGAAGCGTCTGTATCTTTCCGATAATCGTACAGGAAGAAATCAAGAATGGGTCTTCTGGTAATACATCTCAATCACCGCGATCAATATAGAAATCCTCAAGATTCTTACGTTTCCTTATCTTACCCCGTATATTTGATCAGTCGAGAACAACGCGGGAAAAGGCGAGATTAACGGGGAAGGGGATAAGTGATCGTTCACCCTTTGCCTTACAATAACGTGTCAGAATCGAACAAACGTGAACATTACTCGATCCCTTTGAATTCAAATTTAATTATTATATTCTGTAGCAAACATTGATACAGGGTATACCTCCGAATCTGCTCTTTCTCTTAATAAATTCTTAACACTTAGCCGGCCGCACATTTATCGCATCGCCGTTAGAGAAAAGACAGTTTCAAACTAACAGTAGAAGCATCTGCTTAAACCTTTGCACTCCGAAGTTTTTCGCTAGAAATATTTCAACATTTTCTAATGAGACGAAGACGATATTTTGTGAAACCAACTCGACGAGAAATTCACGCGAATTGACGAGCAAAGATATTTTACGTCAATATTTCTTAGATTGATGCATTATGTGAAGTATAATATTAAATATCAAACTTTACAGCTTCACTGTAGGAAATTAAGTGGTGACTGAGAGTCACCTCCCGAGTGCAAAGGGTTAAAAGATTTTAACAAAAGATGATCTGGTAAATTGGGAAGGGAGAACAGTGGAAGCAATTGTTTCTCTAAAAGTAGCATCGATATGTATTCCTGTACAAGCATCGGAATGATAATCGCGCGTACGTGGCAGCGGTCGGTAAAATGTTAACCCTTTGCACTCGGGAGGTGACTCTCAGTCACCAGTTGGTTTGATAAAATTATAAAGCTTGATGTTTAACACTAAACTTTGTATAACGCGTCACTGTGTGAAATATCGAAGTAAAATAGTTTTGACCTTTAATTTATCGATTAAATTATTTACATTAGTCGCAACGAGCATCGTCTAGATTTTACCAAAGAGTGTTGAATATTTCTAGTGAAACATTCGACATTTTCCAATGAGACATAGACGACACTATTTAAAACGAACTAATGAGCAAACATACGTCAATTAGGAAACAAAGCTGTTTTATATAAATATTTCGGATATTGATGCATTATACAAAACTTAATACTATATATAACACTTTGCAACTTTGTTAGATCAAATCAAACGGTGACAGAGAGTCACCTCTCGAGTGCAAAGGGTTAAAACTAAAAGTGTACGGCGATGGGTAACCCTTTGCGGACGAATGTTGACGCTTTGCCGAGATCAAACTTTCATATTTCGAATACTGAGTTACCAACGAATGATTTAATAACTCAAATAGCGAGGAATCAGTGCATAGTTTCCCTTTTCTCTATTATTGCCTCTCGAGTGCAAAGGGTTATTAACAAGCTAGTACCGATCACAGTTGAGAAATAAATCGTGCAAACGGTTAATGGACTGAAGGTTACTCTAGTGTCAAGGGTCAACTCTATCGCGACCCTTACACCAATATTTGCGTCGGACGTCTGCTTCCTTACTCGAGATCGCAATCTCCTAGGAGCGCGTGCCCGTTTTTCGGCGATACGACGCGATCGGAGAACAAAAAAGGTGGCCCTGTAGACAATGGTTATCGGGACCAAACAATATATCGCCGAGGAACAAGGGTAAACGACTTGATGGATGATCACGTTCCGGGCAGCAAACATTGCACGATCGAATTACCGGGTCCAGCGCAGGGGGGGCGACGACGGACAATCGAATCGGCCGGGAAGAGGATCCGCGTTTCAACCTGGCAGGGTGATCGATAATTGGGGGGGTCACGGAGTGCTGTGTCACTCCAGGTGTAACTAACAATTTGACATAATGATAGATCAATCGTGCCGATGAATGGGCAATGATTGGACGCTGACCGGTACACGAGGAATTATCGTCTTCGGCGATCTTCGGCCTTCGCTCCCCTTCGTTAACGAATCGTAATGCGCCGACCCCCGCCGAGGAATTGAACATTTCGCTTTAGAGAACATCTTCGCCGTGATTCCGACCGGATTACTTAACATTCTGATCCGTTTTTTATTGAATCCCGCGAATCCCGCCGTTAGCTGTAATTCGTAAGCCTGACTCACGCTAACGCGGACTTCTGTGGCGCGAGCCTCTTTTTCACCCGTAAATTGAAACACCACGCGTAGTTTTTACGCGATCTGATTTTAGTAACTAACTTTAGTATTAGAATTTATTTATTTCATTTAGAATTTTTAGAATTTAGAATGTATTTTATTTAGAATTTTTAGAATTTAGAATTTATTTTATTTAGAATTTAGTAGCTAAATTTATATATTTATATAAATATAAATATAAATATAAATATAAATATAAACATAAATATAAATATAAATATAAACATGTATATATATATATATATAAAAATAACAATATCCGTAAAATTAACTCCATTTACTTTATGTAAAATATAAGATTGCGTCTGTGAAATATGTGACGCTGGTAGCGAACGTGTTAACACGTTGACTGCCACGGTGGTCACCGATGACTAGAGCTTCGAAATTGCTGAAGAAGGATTACAATAAAAAACTTGATCTCAAATAAGAATATTTAGTAACATAAGTAGCTAGATCATAGCGTGATATGACTACTGTGATACTAAATCATTAACAATTATTTTCAATATCATTTGCCTTTGTTATAGAATAAGTATTACTATTCAAAACGCTATAAATTCTCGTGGCAGTCAACGTGTTGACTACCTATTTTTTCTACTTTTTCAGTAGTTTATTCAGTTAACAATGAAATAGGTAATCTGTTATTAGTTAACTGATATAAATAATGGATTGCTCGTTGGTAAGAGTGATATCGATGACTATTTGCCAGGACAATGTGACTACCTATTTTTTCTATTTTTTTAATAGTTTATTCAGTTAACAAAGAAATAGGTAATCTGTTATTAGTTATCTAATATAAATAATGGATTGCTGGTTGGTAAGAGTAATATCGATGACTATTTTCCAGGACATTTAACACTAGAATTACCAGTGAAACTGTCTTTTTGAAATTTCTCTGTAGGAAATGGCGCAACTATTGAGATTTCAATTGATTTGCAGTATAGCTTCTGTATTACTAGATCAATTTCTCTAGTAATTTCTCAGAGAATCATCCGTTATCTTTACAATAACTGGAAAATAAATTAATGAGTTCCAGTATTAAAGGGTTCCTTTTCGAAGCGACCCACGCAGAATTTGGACGATTTCATTTAACAATGGCGGATCCAGTCGCAATCGGAGGCCCGGATTTTTTCATGCAAACGTCTGCCCAATTGAATTAATGTAATGACATGGAAGCGATGGTGACGCGTGGTCAGAAGCGGATCAACTTACGCAGGGTCGGCCGGTATCTAGGACAAAACGCGTCCCCCCGTTTTCCCTTCTGTTATATTTTTCCGGACACGGAACACCGGCGACCGATTTAACCCCTTCAGGACCAGCCTCGAGTGTCACTCGGTCATGCTTGATTCGCGGAATAAATCAAATTGACCGTCCTATCTGAGCGATAGACGATAATATATCAAACTTTCGCTTGCGATCTAATACAGCGTCGCGCTGGCTGTTTGCTAATTGACGATGTAAAAAAAAACGGTGAATTTTCTGTGAAAAGGAGGCTCGAGAGAATAAAATAAATGTTTCTCGTAACTCAACTTCTACTCTAAGAATTTCTGTTTAGTGTTTAGTGATATAGTAATGTTATCAAATTACTTATTCAGTAATATAGTAAAATTATAGAATTACTTATTCAGCATTATTTATAACATAGAAATGTTTGCGAATAATCATCGTTTAACTGAGTGAACTATGGTAATTCGATTTGATCGAACGCCGCGATTTCATAGAGCAAAATATAGAAAATGGGAAAAGTACAATATTAAATCATTTGATTGAATTGCATTATTATTATTGCGTGTTCATCTAGCTGAATGTCAACGCATTATGTAGCATTATTCGTAATATAGATATGTTTTCAAATAATCATCGTTTAACTGAGTGAACTATAGTAATTCGATTTGATTGAACGCCGCGATTTCGTAGAGCGAAGTACAGAAAATGAGAAAAATATAATATTAAATCATTTTATTGAATGCTCATTTAGCTGAACGTCAGCGCCACTATGTAGCATTATTTGTAATATAGATATGTTTCCAAATAATCATCGTTTAACTAAGTGAACTATAGTAAATCGATTTGATTGAACGCCGCGATTTCATAGAGCGAAGTACACAAAATCGGAAAAATCTAATATTAAATCATTTGATTAAATCGCATTATTATTATTGAATGTTCATCTAGCTGAACGTCACCGCATTAGGTAGCATTATTTACAATATACAAATCATTTCAAATAATCACAGTTGGACACTTCGACTGCCACGGCGGTCACGGATGACCGAAGCTTTGAAATTACAAGAAATTAATTATGACTTGGAAGATAATTGATTTTGAATACAAATTTTCCATAACGTATATAACTAAATAATAGGGCAATATAAAAATTTTCATATCAAAGAATTAATAATTTTTGCTTCGTATCTTTGCTATAGAAAGAATAAGTGATACATAAAACTCTGAAGATTTTCGTGACAGTCAACGTGTTAACTCTTTGCGCTCCAGAGGCTCCTCTGAGTCACCAAATGATTTGATACAGCAAAACTGTAAACTTTGATACTTAATATTAAACTTTGTATAATGCATCAATGTACAAAATATTGAAAGAAAATAGTTCTCTTCCTCGATGCATGTGAGATTTCTTATTGTCAACGCATTATGTAGCATTATTCGTAATATAGATATGTTTTCAAATAATCATCGTTTAATTCAGTGAATTATAGTAATTCGATTTGCCGTGGGGGACCCCCACGGCATTCAACGTATTAATATAAAAGGATCCCGACGTGAAAGCCGGACGTCGAACGGTAGTCCGATTCTAAGGGATGACGGAGGAAGTTCCGTTACTCACCTTCCTTGAACTTTGCGCAGTTGCACGTTGTGTACGTTCAGAAAGTCGTTCACTTCGGCCAAGGCCAAGTCGACAGCTGGACCGCATCTCTCGAGATCGAACGGGCTGTTCAGATGGGAGGCCATCAGGACACCGACGTTGTAGATCCTCGGGGAGTTCCCATGATCCGCTGCGTGAATCCAGACCGAACGACGCTCGGTGAGAAACTTTGTGGAACTCTTTCCGCGCGAAATCGAAATCGACGGATCAAAAGAAAGGGAGGGACATCCGTTGGAAAAAGGGGAATTGAAACGCCGACGGTTCTCGCGCGCTGGCGAAGCATCCCCAATCGGGACTCAAATGGGCAAGAGTCGTTCTCCCGTTGCCGGCCGTCGAAATAAATCGCACAGAAACGATGATTATTTCATTCATAAGCGCAACTGCTCGTGACACCGAAAAAGGGTCGGCAAAAGGGACGCGACATCCCGACGGAGAATATATTCCGAGCGTTGTTTTCGGGGATCTGCAGATCAGCAGGATTCTGCTCGTTTTAACATATTTATTACCTCGTGGCTCGTCTATTCGATTAATTCGGTATAGACGTTACCGCTAATGTAGACGTTATTGATTAAACTATTTGCAAATAGACCTTTCGAAGAGTGATCGATAATGAATTCGATAGAACCTTTAGATTCGATAGAACATTTAGGCAACTGTCTAAACAGAACTGTAACTACATCTTCTATGTCTTCAATTGAACTCGTTCAATTTAATTAATTTAAAAACTTTCGTTTGTAAACACAAGAACCGTAATGGAGGGATTGCGGATAATCAGATTTTAACCCTTTGCGGACGAAGATTCTTTGGAATGTGCGAAACCTTCAACGGATGAAGCTAAATTACATACCGCTTGCTTAAACAATAGAAAAAACGGAAACTTCATGCTAATCTCTTGCTGTCCGAGTAATTGAATCGTTTGTCTGCGACTTAGTCTTCCAAATATTAACGTTTCATCTCGAAACGTCGACATTCGTCCGCAAAGGGTTAACACATTGCGTACTGGTAACGAGAAATCTCGTTTTTATATAAAGACAACTAGCAACTTCGCTAATTACCACAGCATTGGAAAAAATATAAAATTTGATTCGAATTGATTATCTATTTAAAATATATTACATAACAATATAATATCCGAGTTTTTCTATGTATAGTGATATAAGTTGACCTCAGTGAAAATTGCCATCACAATTCAGTTTTCTGAAAATTAGCCGGTATGCAATGTGTTAAGATTACTAAACAACAAAAGAAAAGATGAACAGAATAAAAAGCAATAAGCTAAGTGAAAAGATCTCATTCGGTTAGCTAAGTGTTAACACGTTCACGAACGTGAATGCTATAGAATTCATCTTCATTGTGACGCCAAATGACTCGGATGCTATAACATTCAAATTTATCAGCCACATAGTACGCATTTAATTCTACGTAGCCTTAATTTTTTCACATTGTCACGCATTTTCGGAGAACTGAAGTTGCATTCTATTTTTACAGCACATTAACACTAGAACTACCGTACCAGTCAAAATGATATTTCTATTGTCTTGTTTCACAATTATCGATATCTCAAAAGCATCGAATATTCGAAATGATCTTGAAAATAAATAGCTTTGACTTGGATACTATAATGAATGTCTCAAGAAACTGAAAATAATCTATTAGAATTTTTATAAGGATTACACATCAGTCGTATTAAATCCTTAGCACTCCAGGTTGTTTTGTAATCTATCAACAACTGCAACTAATTTTTATAGCATTCCTAGCGAAAATTAGAAATGCTATAACATTTCTTCGATCTTTTATTTTCCTTGTTAGCAGAAAATTTGGATATGTGGAAAATCGAATAATTTTAGGGTAGTTTCTTTAAGATTCATTAAAATATTTAATATTACAACTGGTGCAATATTCGAGCGTACAGAGTTGAAAGGGTTAAATCTTCGGTTGTAGTGTTAAAATTCTTACTGTCCGCGAACGTGTTAAGAGAAACCTATCTCGAACAATGTAAACTCGACCAACTTCATTGGAATCATCTATTTGCATCGAAGTAATTCGAATCCGATAAGACAGTTTCATTGTCAAGATCTGCACTATCAAGATCTACATTAAGAGTTTCTCTCGATCCACGTGTCAAGCCCGAGCGCAAAAACTTCCGCTCCGTTTCCCGACGTCTCGAATGTTTCCACAGAAAAGGAATTCCAAAGCCGCACATGATCTTACCGAAAGAAACGTTGGCCGTGGCGATCGCCCGAGATATTCCAATAACGATCAGAAACTTCACACTCGCGGACAGCGCGCTTCGGCGCGGATCTTCCATCCTCGTCGCGGTGATTTCAGCGGCGCGAAGCGTAACGTTCGACCGACATCGTTCGAAGGATTACCGAGAGATGATTGGCGTCGAGTGAATTCGTGTGTCGCCTGTTTAGGATCGCAGGTGACGCGTGTTCCTAAGATTGCCCGGCGGAATTAAGCGAGTCATGTGACGGAGCGCCGGCTCGGACGCATCTAAACCACCCCCGGAAGAGATTCACCCTTATATGCCGACCGACATAACGCGCTCGGGGTGATCCAGCGTAATCTATTAGGACGTCCGATAACTCGCTCGTGTGTCAACGCGCGACGGCCGGGACGCGTTCTTCCGGGGAATCCCGGGTTCACGACAGATTTGACGTGGTACAGGCAAAATACTAAGGGAGACATGCATTTGGAAGTTCTGGTACATGCGCTTTGCCGATGGGCGAGCTCGCGGGGCAACCCCGGCCGCGTCTACGCATGCCTCGGAGTCCGCGTCCTCCCTCGATACTCGATACAAACGGTATCTGGATCCTCGATACAATTATTTCGAAAAGAACCGGCCTTTATTGATCGAATTTTTCTAAATTGCGCGAGGACGCGCGACTTCCGTCCCGTTGCCACTTCAATCTTCGCTTCGCCCTCTTTGAAGACCGGGGATACTCCCGCGAAGGCTCGCGAGTTATGCATTCAATATGTTAAGTAACTATTTCCATTTACTCGAGGACGCTCGGTTCTTGTCGGAGTATTCTTTCTCCTCCTGCGCGCAGATCTCTTCATCCAGGAGAAGCTCGAAGTTGCCCAAGGCTTCCGGGAGCGGGCATTTGTTCCACCTCACGCTGCGGTTAATAGAATTTGCTGGGAACTGTGGATGATCGTAGTCGTTTCGGGATTCTGTAAGGGTTTCTTACTCTGGCACGCCGTCCGGAGGAAGCACGATCGATATTATGTTGTCGATTAACTTGTACTTCAGGATACGGTCGTTGACGGTGGTGGACGTTAGCGATGGCGACGCGTTCACCTGAAATTTAAGGGAAAGACTCTCAGTGTTGGTATTATTGGACGAAGGATCTTTCCCGCGAAGCGTTTGCACTGTTCTGTTTATGCTTTCTCAGCTGATATTTCACGACAACCCCGTTTTCACGGATAGGGGTATACCCTGGTGTAATTTGAAACTGAAAACGAGTGGCGAGGTCCTCGACGCTTTGCGTTGGGGGAGCAGAACCTCCTTAGCCACGCTGCATGCCCTTAATGTGTGAACTATTGTTTGAGACTTGGGATGGACACAGAGTACAGGTCCTGTTAGGGTACCAAACATGTTGCAATATGCGCTGATGGGTTCGAGTCTTCTTCACTGTTTGCTTGAGTGTATCTGGAAACCTTAAACGACTCAAGCCATCACTTCTTGCGCTGCTGCATGGTTATAAGAGTACAGGTCCTGTTAGGGTACCAAACATGTTGCAATATGCGCTGATAGATTTGTGTCTTCTTCGCTGTTTGTTTGAGTGTATCTGGAAACCTTAAACGACTCAAGCCATCACTCTTTACGATGCTGCATGGTTATAAGAGTACAGGTCCTGTTAGGGTATTAAACACGTTGCAAAATGAGGTGATGGGTTCTAGTCTTTTAACTTTTTATTCAACACGTTGACTACCACGGTGGTCACGGATGACCAGAGCTTTCAAATTACTCGATAATAATTACAATTTGTCAGGTACCTAATATCGAATGGAAATATTTCCTAATTACTAGATGACAGTGTAACATAAGCATTGCGCTACCAAACAATAAGTAACTATTCCTCTTTACCTTTAGAGTTTTGTATCGCTTATTCTTTTGTAGCAAAGATAAAGAGGAATAGTTACTTCGCTACAAAAGAAGCGATACATAAAGCTCTGAAGATTTTCGTGTTAAGTGCGACATGTATCTGGAAGCCTTAAAAGACTCGAACCCATCACTTGTTGCGATGCTGAATAGCTTGAACGTGTACGAGGATTTTTAGAGTAAAGAATCACAAAGCGATGGAAGGACCTCTATAAGCCACGGTTTCAGCTCGTTATCTATGATGATGTCGTAGCCGTAGCACTCGAAGCAGTGCCGATCATTGGCCATCACCGGAGCAACAGCTTTCAACGAGTGCACGATGCACCAGGTGATGTTCGCGAACAGCTTCTCCGTGACTGCTTTCCCACGTGTGCTCTCCAGGTACAGTCTCAGGTTGTGCACACTTAGTTTGCCGCCGTGTTTAGAATTGTATTCCTCCTGAAACATAAATTTCTTGATTAACCCTTTGTCCTGTAATTCCTTTCTCGACTATGACCGATACGACCACTTTATCATCGATAACTTACCGAAAAAAGAGAACAGTTCTAGACATACTCTAAATCTGTGTTTGCTCTAAAATACAGGATGTCGCAAAAGAAACGTTGCCACACTGTATTAACTGAGTTGTTTACCTTGAAAGTAGCTTAAATCTATTTTTCAAAAAAGTCAAGTTACTCGTTATAATAGTTACAATTCTACATAATCTTTTTATTGTTTAATAGTTCTTTTTTAAGTGGACTTCAACACTTGCAAAATAAACGGTTCAACTGGTGGAACGCTGAATTTTATTTTTTTTATGTATGACAACATTTTTTGCGACACGCTGTATAATAGTTGAAAATTTGTTTCACAACCGAAACAATGATTAACTGCTGGACTTCTAGTTAGTTTCAATATTAGTTAAGTATTAGTCTACAGTACTCACACCATGCTTTTGCACGGACACATTCGTGAGGTGTATGTACATGTTGTCCAGTTCTTGTATACTGGTGTCGTATTTAACAGTGCAAAATCGGCAGAAGCCGAGCTTGAATAAATACGCCTTCAGCGGTCGGAAAGACGTGATCAGAACGTATAATCGTAGATCGAATTTTTTACCACCGATTAGAAGGGGATTATCGATGTACCTATTGATTCGTAACGAAGTTAATGAGTTTCCTCTGCCTTTTCTTTGTTTAACTAACAAATGAGCTGTTTATTTTGAAAGTCGCGTAAGTCCATTCTTCGAAGAGATCAAGTTAACCGTTACAATAGTTCTAATTCTACATAATCTTTTTATTCTTTAACCCTCTGCGGACGAAGATTCTCTAAAAAATACAAAACCTTTTGTAGACTCTACCAAATCACACATCGAATGCCTAAATAATGTAGAATAAGGAAATTATGTACTGGTTTCTTACTGTTTGAGTATTTGAACTATTTGTTTTGCAACTTAATATTACAAACATGAAAGTTAGATCTCGGCAAAGTGTCGACATTCGTGAAATGACAGAAAACCGTCAGCAAATGAAGCTAGATTATGTATCAAGTGCGTAAATAATATTGAGAAAGTAAACTAAATACCGATCTCTCGCTGTTCGAGGAATGAAATAATTTATCTGCGACTTCATATTGCAAATACGAAAGTTCCTCCGCGAAGAGCTAACAGTTTTCGAATCTTTTTCAACTGGACTTAAGCCACTTTCAAAATAAAATGGCTCAAACGACCGCACACCTGGATATAACATACGATTCCTTCGTCAAATTCGGATTGAACGGGTTCTTCGCTTCCCGGGACCATTTCTTCAGTTTACTCAGTTTGTTAATTAAAAAGATTCCAGCGCCCTGCGACTTGCCGCACGGTTTCATGATCCACGTGCTTTGCGGTGACTTCCGGTACTCCTCCACGAACATGTTGTAGTCTACATCACGATCAACCGTTTGAGTACCGGAGCTTTTTTAAAAAAACACAGTCGAAAAAAGCGCAATAGCGCTCCTTTTATTTCATGTCGAGAAAAGCCAAGCAACGCGACAGCGTTTGTCTTCACACATCGTATACCGGCTAATTTTCAAAAAACTGAATTGTTTCCGATTTTCAGCGAGATCAATCTATATCACTACACATACAAAAGCTCAGATATCATATTGTTATGTAATACATTTTGAATAGATAATTAATTCGAATCAAATTTAATATTTCTTTTAATGCTGCGGTAATTAGCAAAGTTGCATATCTCAGTGTCTTTATATAAACGAGATTTCTCGTTACCAGTACGCAATGTGTTAATACTATTATGTAATTGCGTACTGGTAACGAGAATATTTTACAAATTAATATATATATATATGTAGTTTTATATAATATTTCATAATTTTATATCGTTTTATACTGTTTTATATAGTTTTGTATAGTTTTATATAGTTATAAATTATTTTATATAGTTTTAAATCGTTTTATATAGTTTTATATAGTATTACACATTTTTATATAGT